TTCGATATCCTGAAGCAGAAGCTCACGTCATCTCCTGTCCTGACGTACCCGGATCCATCCCGCAAGTTTATCCTGGACACGGATGCTTCTGACACTGGTATTGGTGCAACTCTATCGCAGGTTGACGATCAGGGCAGAGAGCAGGTAATTGCGTATGCTAGTAGTTCACTTAGTAAGAGCCAACGTCGCTACGGCACAACTCGGCGTGAGATGTATGCAGTGGTCTTCTTTGTGCAATACTTCAAACATTATTTGCTGGGTGCAAACTTTACCTTGCGAACCGATCACAAAGCCCTTCTCTGGTTGAAGTCTTTCAAGGATTCGGAAGGTATCCTGGCGAGATGGTTGGAGAAACTAGAAGCGTTCGATTTCACAACTGTCCACCGTAGAGGTACTCAGCATGCCAACGCAGATGCATTGTCGCGGTTCCATAGCCAACCTGCGGACAATTCGGAGCATCCTGCATCGGCCACTGCCGAGCCTTCAGTAATGGATCCAAATATTACTGTTGTCTGTCCTTCCCAGTCTTCCATTCCTGTCCCTACAGCCGTGCCATCAGTCTCTCCGGATACAGCAGCTGGTGATTCATTGACGCAGGATTCTGGACATCAAGCATACGTGGGTAATGTTGACGTTGAATCACAACCTGCAGAACATGCGAATGATGATAGCAATTTACTTGGAAGCAATTGGGCAGATTTTTTTAGTGCAGAAGATATTCGCAGAGCTCAAGCGGAAGACAGTGACATTGACTGCATGATTGGTTGGCAACAAGCATTGTTAGACAGGCCTAAACGCAGTGATAGTGCTATGAAAGGAGCATCATTAACCTTGATACGTCTGTGGAGTCAGTGGAAACGCCTGGTTCTGCAAGATGGCTTATTGTATCGTACGTACACTTCAGTAGATGGTAGCAACTCATTTCTGCAACTTGTTGTACCTGTCAGTTTGCGACAGAGAATTATGACTGGGATGCACAATGAGTGTAGTGGTGGACACCTCGCTACTGAACGTACTCTAGAGAAGGTGAAAGCTAGATTCTATTGGCCTTTTATGTCGTCTGACATTGAGCTGCATTGCAAGGCGTGTGCGCTTTGTTCAGCTAGGCGTACCCCAGCACCAACCGCTCGCGCTCCGATGAAGGTGGACCAACCATCCTTTCCACTGCAACGTGTCGCTATGGACATCATGGGACCACTGCCCAGAACAAATCGAGGTAACCTCTACATTGTTGTGATTACTGATTATTTCACGAAGTGGGTAGAAGCGTTTGCCATCCCGGATATGACTGCTAGGACAATAGCTTCGGCACTGATTGATGGTTTCATTTGTCGCTACGGTGTGCCACTGTCTATCCACACTGATCAAGGTGCGCAATTTGAGTCAAATTTGTTCAAATCCATCTGTGAACTGTTAGATATGAAGAAGACACGCACGACTCCATATCATCCTTCTAGTGATGGTTTAGTTGAACGGATGAATCGTACACTTGAGAACATGCTGAGTGCCAGAGTCAATGCCAACCACAATGACTGGGACCTGCATATTCAACGCTGTTTACTGGCGTATCGTAGTAGCGTACATAGTTCAACCAAGGAAACCCCAGCTAGATTGATGTTCGGCAGAGAGCTTAAGTTGCCAGTGGATATTATGTTTAACGACTCTAGAGAACATGTTAAATCTGTACCTGACTATATGATTGGTCTCGAGATCTCCTTGCAGCAGGCATTTTCTCACGCTCGATCAGCTGGCGCTAAAGCACAGAAACGTCAGAAGGACTACTATGATGCAAAGACGACCAAGCCACGGTTTGCGATCAATGACAAGGTGCGCTTACACAACCCAGCTGTGAAAGCAGGCAACACAAAGAAGTTCCTCAAGCCATGGACCGGGCCGTATCGAGTTGTCGAGGTGATCGATGACGTGGTGTACAGGATTGAGCACTGTGATACAGGGAAACTCCAGGTGGTGCACATCAACCGGCTCAAGTCAACGACTCGAGTACCAGAGGAGCAGCCCGCTCCAGTGCCAGCACACCTACCTCAACCGGCGCTAATTGATTACGTGCAAGACGCAGTTCCGGCTATTCCAGTTCCGCCTGTTCCGGTTCCGGCAGTTCCGGTTATTCCAGTTCCGGCAGTTCCAGCTGTTCCAGTTCCGGCTGTTCCAGTCCCGGCTGTTCCGGCAGCTCCCGTTGTGCCGGCCGTTCCGATCATGCCACAGGCAGGTGGGTATAACTTACGCAATCGGGCAAATCTCCAGAGGCCGGTGCGATACCGTCAATGAGAGCCAAGAACAATTGATATGTACAATTTTCTTGTGAAGATTTGAGAGATTGAGATTTGAGTTTTTTTAGATATAGTGTTGGGTTGGCATTTAACACACAGTTTATATAGCTTCTTCCTTGGGTTCTTTCGTTTCATTATTTTTTTATTTTTACAATATTCACCTTATCACGAGGACGTGATTCAATCTGGGAGGGGGCCATGTAGAGCATGCAGCTTCTTCAACCTTGTACCTGTTGCATTGTAGTCTAGTGCCTGTGTCACTGTAGCTTGGTGTGTTAAAACCTGCACAGTAATAGGACTAGTATCCTTTGCATGTGAAGTTCGAACCTACCTTTTTCAGAAGCTTTCCTTTTTTCTTTACTTTCTTCCAATACATGTCTTCTGATTGGCCGAATCTGTGCCATCTCTCTATCTCCTGATTGGTCTAAACCGTTGCTCGTTGTTATGTGAAACCTGAACCCTCTTAGTCTTGGCACATATAAAAAGCTCTGTCTCTGAAGAAAGATCATGCTTCATTTCTTCAAACTTCTCCTTGCTCTGGTGAGACTTGTTGGTTGTTGTGTGCCCAACCACTTGGGCCACGCTACATTAGCAGTGAGGTGCTGCGTGCAGGTTCTGACATTCTAGCTGGTTGGCTGTCCTCATTTTTCAATGTCATTCGCCAATTACAGCACTGCCCAGCAGACCTGAATACTGGAATTATTGTACCAATATACAAAAATGGCAAACCGAAGGGAGCCCCGAAGAGTTACAGACCAGTAATGCTATTGTCAGTGGTTCGGAAAGTCCTTACAACCATAATCACAAAGAGAATTAGCACCAATATTCAGCAGTTTGTGGATGAGTCACAAGCCGGTTTCAGACCAGGTCGCTCAACAGCTGATGGGGTGTTCTGTGTGCGGTCTCTGTGTGAGAGAGCTTTGCTCGGAAATTGGAACTATTCGGCAGCATTACTCGATTTGAGCGGTGCATTCGACACAGTGAACCGTGGCAAGGCGCTCGATCGAATGGCCGATTCGGGTGCACCCACCTCAATGATGAAATTGCTAGTCTCCGATACGACAGCTAGGGTGAAGATTGCTGGGCAGCTCAGTGCTCCCTTCTCAACCAATATCGGCGTGGTTCAGGGGGACCCGATGTCTCCGGCCATGTTCATCGTCTACGCAGAAAGTGCGATGAGGCAGGTGAGAGCAGCCTGCACCTCCCCTTCATGCCTGCCTACTCATTTCTCACAGTATGCAGATGGCACCACAATACATGACACTGATCGTGATGCTGTGGTGGCCGCTGCAGCGAAATGTGAGCCAATTTTCGCCCAGGATGACCTGAGATTAAATCTAACAAAAACTCAATTTGTAACTCCTTCCAAGGATGATGACGCATGGAGAAAGACGAAACTACTTGGAAGTCTCTTGGGATCTGGAAGTGACATCGAGAACCGTATCAATGCCGCTAACCGAGCGTTTGGCACTATAGCCTGGAAGAGACACACTTTATTATCTAGAATGCTTATGTTTACCACTCTTATCATTCCGGTTCTACTATACAACTGTGGCCTGTGGACCTTGACAGCAGCACTCGGCAACAGGCTCGACACGTGGCATCGCCGCAAACTACGATCCATTCTCGGCGTAGTGTATCCCCAAAAAATATCAAATAAAAACTTATACAAGCTGTCCAACCAATTGCCTATCACCAGAACATGCAGGGAACGGCGCTTGTTATGGTTCGGCCATGTAATCAGAGAAGGCAGTGACTCGACATCCTACAAAGCTCTAAGACTTTCAATCGACACCAAAGACATCAAGAAGCCCAGGGGACGCCCCGTCACCAGATGGATCGACAACATCAAGAATGACTTAAAGACAATAAACGTTTCCATTGCCGAAGCGGAAGCTATTTCCCAAGACAGGGAAGCTTGGCTCGGCATTGTGAATCAATGTACTAACTTATCATGCTAAAACATAACTGCGCTTACTTGAATATCCTTTTGGTAAATAACATTCTGTACTTAATTAATATTATATTCCTCATGCCTAGGCTCATGGTGGAATCGAGGTAGTTTTTCCCTGCAATAACAGAATGAAAAACGTGTGCATGTCATGTGTTTCTCGTTTTCTCTAACTCTTTTGCCGACAGATGCGTTAGCCCCATGGGTGATCTCACCCATGGGGTACATGCGAGCTGTTATGGGGGTGGCTTTATTGGTTTTGTGTTTGTATTATGCAGCATCCCGGGTCATTTAAGACCATGGGGACTACTGCTGTTGTATGTGAAGAAAATATAATAAGGAAGACTGAGAAAAAAGAAAGAAAAAAGAGAGAAATACTGTGAACAGCAAATCTACAATGATGCATGTACAATCTATTATACAACTAATCTGCGAGAATGAGACTTAACACAAGCAGGTACAGTAATAGCAAGAGAGCTAAATCAGAAAACAAAATCCGTTGAAAAGTAACCGTCATCAAATCTGAAATCGAGCCCTTCAGCGACACAATAGCACTGAAGGCAGCAATATAATTCTTCTCATTCAACATCAGTGAAGCACCGTCAAAACCGGTGAATGGGGGCTGATGGTATTATTGTTGTCTTTGTTATTGGCAAGTGATCAATATTACGATCATAATTATTTTCTGCAAATAGGTGCTTCAACTAATAGTTCGAACCATGGGCATTCGCAAACCAATGTAACTTATTAGAGTGTAATTATTATTTCATCTGAGTTATTGACCTGATGATGTCAACTGTGCCAAGGAGCGCCTCCTTTTGCAAGATCGATACACTGGCTCCGGCATCCAATTCCCTCACAAAGTCAGCAGTCGAGGGGGTTAATCCACCTAATGCCCCCACAATTACTGGCACGATCTTGGCCCGCACCTGCCACACCTGCTCCACCTCACGCTTCAGGCCTTGATATTTCTGTATCTTTTCCACAGATTTTCGGCGGATGTTCCTATCCAGAGGGACACTTACGTCCACAAGGAACGCTTCATCTTTTCCCTTGATAATTATGTCGGGTCTGTTTGCTCCAACGGGCGCTGCTGTTGGAATCGGCACTTCCCAGTAGATTGACACATCCTTTTCAGCACTGTACACGACGTTGGTGAGTTGATGACTTGTGTACTTATTCGAAATGTCCGATGCACCATACTTCCTGCACAATGTCCAGTGAAGATATTTTGCTAACCTGTTGTGGCGATTGATATAGTGACTCCCCGCACAAGCTGTACACGCTCCAATAAGGTGGAAAACCGTTTCCTTGTCCTTGCCACACATCCTGCAACTCGTTTTCGTTGACACACCTGTTCCTCGATTAAATATCTCTTGTAAGTTCCGTGTTGGGATAGCCTGGTCCTGTATGGCCATGACAATACTCTCTGTCGCTGGACGCAAAGCGGAAGACCGCAACCACGCAAAGGAGAGCCCTCGATCCAGCTCAGCATCCTGCAGCATAAGCCAAAATTGGCCATGCAGAGGCTTCTTTCTGATTGTCTCCTCCCGATGCCGCTGGTATCCCTGGCGTATTTGCTCCTTTGTGGCTGACTCCTCCATACCAATCTTTGCCAAATATTTCGCAGCATCACTGGAGACAGAGTATTTTGCTTTTTCATGATGGTACTGTTTTAGGAGAGCAATGGCAATGTGGTCTTGGTGGCCCTCGATGTATTTGTTGATCTGGATGATGGATCGTTCATGTAGATCTGCCACACTTTGGAATCCACGGCCGCCTTCGGCGCGCACCAAATGCACCCTCTCTCTGTCAGCCCGAGGGTGATGCCATCCCTTCTTGGTGAGCTTCTTCCTGAGCAAGATATCCAGCTGCTCCAATTCTACGGGTCGCCAGTTGATGATGCCAAAGCTGTAGGTGAGCAGCGGCACCGCGTATGTGTTTACTGCCTTTGCTAAATATCCAGCCGTTAATCCAGACTTGAAGATCGCATCTAATCGCTTTCCATAATCCTCACGAAGCTTGCTCTTTATCTCACCATGCGGCAGCGCAGCCGATTCAATGAATCCGAGGTATTTGTACATGTTATCTTCTTGCAGGGTGGGTAAAGCCATACCCAACAGTGTTTCGACAGGCTCCGCATCACTTGACTCAAGCACTCCCCGGTGTACATGAAGCGTGGCGCACTTCGAAACACCAAACTCCAGGCCAATGGCCGAAGCTGTGATCTGGGCGACGTTGATCATGGACTTCAGCTGGTTGCGATGTTTGGCATACAATTTAATGTCATCCATGTACAGGAGTTGAGAAACGACCTTTGAGACCTGTCCAATTTGCATTTGATATCCGCCGCCTGTCTTCTGCACCTCTCTTGAAATGCAGTTAATAGCTAAGCAAAACAAGAGGGGTGATAGCGTGTCTCCTTGGAAGATACCACGGCGAATCCTGACAGATTCTGTAGAGACCCGTGCATTTTGATATGATAAACTCATGTGTGTATTCCAGAGCTGCATGCTTGCCTCCAAGAACTTGACAAGAGCTGGGCTAAATTTGTACATCTCCAGCATCCGAATAATCCATACATGAGAAACGCTGTCATAGGCTTTCTTGAAGTCGATATACGCAACAGAGATATTGCGCTTATTATGCCGAGCGTGCTCCATTATCATCTTATTGACAAGAAGTTGCTCCTTACAGCCTAGTGTTCCCGGGGTACACCCTCTCTGTTCATCTGGGAGTATCGAATTGGTGTCAATGTGTTTCCACATGAGACTAGCAACTACGGCTGTCAGGATCTTGTATTGTGTGGGTAGACAGGTGATAGGGCGATATTGGGCTGGGTTAGATGTGGGTGGCTCCGTCTTGGGCAGCAGGAATGTGCGGCCAGTCACCAACCATTCCGGAATTGGCCAATCACCGACAAGGGTCTTCTGGAAGGCGATTCGCAGGGCAATGTGTAGATTAGATAATTTTTTCCACCAGTAACCATGAATTGCGTCTACACCACTAGCTTTCCACCTGCTGACCTTAGCTAGCGTGTCCTGGAGTGCCCGTTGAGTCACAGATACGGGTTCATCCTCTGCAATGGTAGTCTCATATTCCACTCTTTGTTCTTGATACCACCCTGATGACTCATCAAACGGCACAGGCTTGGCTAGTATACCAGACCAGAACTCGAATACGGCACCCTCACTCGGTATTTCCCCGGGATGCTGCTGCTCCGGTTCCTTTCTCAGTCTACGGTAGAATTCTTTCTCATTTGTGCGGAATAGTGTGTTAGCTCTCCTGCTCTCCCAGATGTGTTTATCACGTCTTGTCCTCTCCGCTAGCGCAAGCAATTCCAGCTTCCTCTGTTCCAGGGCGTATCCAATCTGGGAAGTGTTGGATATTCCGTACTGAGTAAAGAACCGTTGGTGCTTGACAGCAGGGTTTTTCAACATCATTGTTAGTCGAGATATATCTGCCCGTAATTTCTTCGCTTTGTTGCGCGATTTTACTAACCAAATCGGTTCTGGTGGTCGCGAGCTCGCCGGCTTGCCACTAGCGTTTTCACCGTTCGTCTCAGACAAGGAAATGCCACATCTGGTCAAGGAACAGCGAGCAGCAACATATACTAAGCAATTGAGATCCTCCATTTGAAGATCTTTGTTTTTACTAGTGGTGTTGATCACTCCAGGGATTGCTTTGTTCACAAGTGATGTCACCTGATCGAGTTTGCGTTGAGGCACATGGCGAGGTACAGGTAACCTAGGCCTTTCGGACATGGGTACATTTCTCCATCTCAAGTATGCCTCACTGAGCGCGTTAGTGGTGTCAGTGTTGAGTGCATCCATGGCGGCAGTTTCTCCATCTTGAGGATGAGTAAGGTCAGTGCTGCTTTGTGAAGGCATCCCCTGCACTAAGTTGTCACTGCTTGTATCAGTAGCCACCAGCACAGCTGTAGCAGGCTGCAGGCTGTCACCTTGCTCTGGAGGTGTCAAAGCCAGGGCTGCTCCAGCATTCAAACCCGTAGGTGTAGATGCAAGTAGCAGTGTAGCCTGCGTCGCTGGTGTAACCTCGGATAGATCACCCATACTAGTACTACCAGTACCAGCAGCACCACCAGTACACAGCTCAGCATGCTCATCAGTCTCCACGGTTACATTACAGTTAGTTTCATCAGCTGAGTTGGTTTCCATGGTGGTAGAAGTTTCAGACGCTCTTTGGTTCCGCTCCTCCATCATCTGCTTCCGCAAGACGTCTTCTTCCACCTTCGAAATTTTATTGTTTTTAGTGATATATCGCCTTCTATCCGCCAACAGACCCTCACTCACCGGTCTATCAGGCCTCATAGCGGTCCACATATCATGCATACGCCGCACGTACCCAAGCTGCAGCCGTCCACACTCGGTAGCAAGCAAGTACGCCTTTATCACATCCCGGTTGTCCTCCCATGTCCATTGCAATCTCCTCCGCGCACGAGCAGGAGGGACAGCGCAATCCTCTCCCGAGTGATCCATTACACATCATATCCTTAGTAAACTCAATAAACCTGAAAAATAGGCTTAGGAGCGGGCCTACTTTGAGCTGTTGCTCGTGTTCGGCCAGAGCTCCCAAAATGCAATCCATTCTCCCTGAGGGCAAATTATTATTATTATTATTATTATTATTATTTAAATAGGCGTCGAGGCGACAATAGTTTTAGAATTGCGATCAACAGAACGAGCTGAACCGACATTTTCACAAAGGCTTTTATTGTATTCAAAAAACGAGTGTATACGAAGGCAGTGAAGAACATGGAAGAAAGAAAAAATGTGATGTGGAAGAAATGATGAACAAAAAATTGTACTTCGAACTAGTTTTCGCACAACACTCCTCAGGAAGCTACGTTGTACTAATGAAAAACAATCCAGAAAGATACTAATAAAGAGAAATGGAGTGAGAAGAAACAACACCTATGAAAATGATAATCCTAGCACTAAGGTAATAACAGGAAAAACTGCGAAAGCACTTAACGAACTTGTAAGGACTACTAGTATACTGTGACACAAGATATGACACCATGGCCAACCAGAGCCAAACCGACAGAACAAGTTGCTACTAAAACAATTTCAAACGAATAATGCTGTCCTTCTGGACACACAGATTAGGCTTATGAATACGTTGACAAACGGCTTCTAACACACTCAACTGCAACTTATAACCATGACGAGCACGGCACAAAACAGAAAAAGAAGAATCAGAATAAACCTTACAACAATCAGGACGAGATGCAAGATGCTTATACACTGATGACTTCCTACTAGAAAACACACGCTCGCACCCACTCTTACTCACACAATCATTCTCGCTCTCACACTCACCGGAATCACTGGACTCACTGGCCGAATCCTCCTCAACGACTTCCTGCCTCGGAGCAATCAGGTCCAGTCTCCTCCCATACCAAAAACGGATACCCAGGCGACATGTTGGCAAAACTATTGTCTACAGCCCCCACGCCGAAACATGAATTGATAGGGCCTGCTCGTTGTCCTGTCTTTTTGTGCTTACCATGGAAGGGCAAGAAGTCTGACAATGTGAGTCGTGAAGTTCGTGCGATCATTAAACAAACCTACTATGCGGTACACTTCATACCCGTCTACACAACGATGCGTTCGTTCACGGTGTTGAAGGACGTCCTACCAACCCATCATTTAAGTCATGTAATCTACAACTTTGAATGCCGGAATTGTGCTAGCCGGTATGTTGGTAGGACTGTTCAGCACCTGAGCGAACGCATCAAGCAACACACTCCTTTACACATTATCCCACGTAGCGCACAACTGGAGCGTCCCACGCGGGGAAGACCCCGTAAACAACCACTACCTCCGCCAACACAGGACCTAGCGTCTCACTCGACAAGTCCACCATTGGCTCCCGTGGCCATGACCAAGTCACTCCCTCCACCAGCGGAGGTGGATGTGGCTTTGGCGACGCCACGTGTGTTGCATGCAGACACGTTTGTATCAGCATCGCTTGCTGCATCACCGGCAGAGACGACAACAATACCTACCTCAATATCAACGAGACCCAGAAGAACAACTGCTAATTACACCATGACCTATTTCAGTACGGAAGTACCGAACCAACGGAATACACAACAGGAACGTGAGACGAGGGATGGGAGGAGACGGGACCTGATTGCTCCGAGGCAGGAAGTCGTTGAGGAGGATTCGGCCAGTGAGTCCAGTGATTCCGGTGAGTGTGAGAGCGAGAATGATTGTGTGAGTAAGAGTGGGTGCGAGCGTGTGTTTTCTAGTAGGAAGTCATCAGTGTATAAGCATCTTGCATCTCGTCCTGATTGTTGTAAGGTTTATTCTGATTCTTCTTTTTCTGTTTTGTGCCGTGCTCGTCATGGTTATAAGTTGCAGTTGAGTGTGTTAGAAGCCGTTTGTCAACGTATTCATAAGCCTAATCTGTGTGTCCAGAAGGACAGCATTATTCGTTTGAAATTGTTTTAGTAGCAACTTGTTCTGTCGGTTTGGCTCTGGTTGGCCATGGTGTCATATCTTGTGTCACAGTATACTAGTAGTCCTTACAAGTTCGTTAAGTGCTTTCGCAGTTTTTCCTGTTATTACCTTAGTGCTAGGATTATCATTTTCATAGGTGTTGTTTCTTCTCACTCCATTTCTCTTTATTAGTATCTTTCTGGATTGTTTTTCGTTAGTACAACGTAGCTTCCTGAGGAGTGTTGTGCGAAAACTAGTTCGAAGTACAATTTTTGTTCATCATTTCTTCCACATCACATTTTTTCTTTCTTCCATGTTCTTCACTGCCTTCGTATACACTCGTTTTTTGAATACAATAAAAGCCTTTGTGAAAATGTCGGTTCAGCTCGTTCTGTTGATCGCAATTCTAAAATTATTATTATTATTATTATTTTAATAACGAAGGTACGTGTTGGGTCGTAAGTATCCACGCAAACACACATCCAGTCAAAATAAGGCACTTGTCAAAGTATCCGAACGTTTTCGGTCCCTTCTCATCAAGGATTATACAGGGAATGGCTCAAGTTGGAAAGACTAAAACTTATATAGCGTAAAGATATGAGATAACAACACTCGTGACAAGGTGGAAAAAGTATCAAGTTCAGCACGACACAAAACTCGAAGGAAATAATAATAGCGACAAGAACATAGTGAGCAAATTAAGTTACATTGTTAACACCTCGACGAGGAGTAACACCAAACAATTGTAGCGACAACACATTTTCTTTCTGTACGCAAAGTTCAGGATCTAACTTACGGATATACAAAGCTTCTAACACAGCCATATGCAACGCACATCTACCACGTGACAATATTGAGAACACATTATCACTGTACAACTCACGACAATTGGTACGGGCTGACAGATGTTGCTTGATGGACGAAGTGCGATTCTTAGCTCCGTTGGGTGTAGTCTCCTCCAATGTCCCGTCATCTCGCCTCTTCGCGGCATCACCACTATCCGTCTCTTTGCTTTTCCGCGGCCTTCCACGTTTTCTGACACTAGCCGTTGTGTGCGCGATGCCCAGTGTCCTTTCAGCTACGTCTCCTCCATTGCGGATTTCTATTGATCTTCTTACTCCAACTTGTCCGGTGTTCGATATTGAGGTTCGTTTTCGCGGTCTACCACGTTTTCGAATATTGACTGTTGTTGTCACTTCCGTTGTCGTTGTACGTGCGTCCTCACCCGTCCGTATTTTTACTTGGCTTCGCGTAACCCTTCCCGACGCAGACAGATCCTTTGTCAATTTCGGTGGTTTACGTGTCGGTCTTTCACCATCTTTCACGCTGTTCTCAGCTGGACCCTGCGCTATACACGCGGAGGAGGACGGGCATGCAGTGATATCTTCACAGGAAGAGGAAGATCCACCGATGGACTGGACAGCACATTTTGGAGGACGACCACGGCGAGGACGACACTCACGCGCTTCAAGCGGAACAAAACTTAACGGCACATGTTGACGAATGCGCGCGCCCAGGTGCTGAAGGGTTCTACCTACATACCGATCTTCACATTGTCGGCATTGAAAGAAATAGATAAGGTTACTTTTACTAAGGGTAGGTAGAACATCCTTCTTCACACTGAACGCACGCACTGTCCCAAATATGACGTACAGCTTGACGCACGGATAAGATGGACATACGATACCACGAACATCCTTCTCCACGCGCGCAGAACCGGCGCCAACCCAGGGTAAACGGAGCACCACTGGGCAAAGGTCAGGTCCAAATTGGATCGGCTTGTCTGTCGCCGGTTTTTCGTTGATAAGCTTGGCCAGAAATTCCTTTGGATAGCCGTTGTTCGTAAATATTGATGTCAGTCTGTCTAATTCGTCCTGCAATAGGTGAGGGGAACATATTCTATGCGCACGATAAACTAGCGCTTTCACAAGATGTTTCTTCGATTTCGTTGGAGTATAGCTCCCCCACGGAATGTAGAGGCCGGTGAAAGTTGGCTTCCTATAGATAGTGGTGTCCAAACTCTTAGTGTTAATGTTGCGTGATATTTGTACATCCAAGAAGGATAATCTGCCGTTTTGTTCCGCTTCCGACGTGAATCTCAACGCCGGATGGAGGCTATTCAGAGTTAGTAGAAAAGTCCCACAGACATCCTCATCCTCATCGTGACAGTACACATCAGAGTTTGGACACCACTATCTATAGGAAGCCAACTTTCACCGGCCTCTACATTCCGTGGGGGAGCTATACTCCAACGAAATCGAAGAAACATCTTGTGAAAGCGCTAGTTTATCGTGCGCATAGAATATGTTCCCCTCACCTATTGCAGGACGAATTAGACAGACTGACATCAATATTTACGAACAACGGCTATCCAAAGGAATTTCTGGCCAAGCTTATCAACGAAAAACCGGCGACAGACAAGCCGATCCAATTTGGACCTGACCTTTGCCCAGTGGTGCTCCGTTTACCCTGGGTTGGCGCCGGTTCTGCGCGCGTGGAGAAGGATGTTCGTGGTATCGTATGTCCATCTTATCCGTGCGTCAAGCTGTACGTCATATTTGGGACAGTGCGTGCGTTCAGTGTGAAGAAGGATGTTCTACCTACCCTTAGTAAAAGTAACCTTATCTATTTCTTTCAATGCCGACAATGTGAAGATCGGTATGTAGGTAGAACCCTTCAGCACCTGGGCGCGCGCATTCGTCAACATGTGC